TCTCTCTCTCTCTCTCTCTCGATAGCAGCTAAACAAATGTCGAAAGTGACTAAATTCCATGGAGAGAGACGTGGCTTCTAGAAATATTTCCCCATACCTGTCGATTAACGATTTAAACGATCCATTGCACGAAGCACGTTGCAATTGTTGTCGAGTGATAAAATTCAACGCTATTTTTTACACGCGGTACTGCCACTGAAAATCAATTCCATTCGGTTGTCTCTCGTTCGAATAGTTTCCGCAATTATCGTGGAAATAATTTTCACACTTTCGAGAGAGCATGAAAGTTTGGAGGATTTATGGGTAATGTATAGTGGGAGAATCGTATCGACTGTAGCGTGTGTGTAGTGAGTGCTGCGATTTTTCAGACGGGACACAACTCCGGCCAGCGTTGATGCACGTCACTTCGGAAATCTATGGAAATTGATATAGTCGCTTACGTAACGCGGTATGCAGAATCGCCAGAGAATCCAGAGGCGATTAGACGCCATTTTTCACTGGCGTCCTTAACTCATTAAGCAAATAGGGAGTTAACGGTTTGGAGTCCGTGTGACTATGTGTCGCGCCGCTGACGTGTACCGTTCCGAGCAACAGATTTTCGATCCGCCATGTTTTTCTTCGGAACATCGAGCTCTCCCTCCCGTGATCGCGTTTCCGTCGTTCCTCGCGCATTTAACCTAACCAGATACTAGTGATACTAGTTGTCTTTGAATTCCCGTATTTTATTGTATTGTACAGATAATCGCAAACGTATCTTACGTAGGTAAAGATCGTCCATTAAGATTCAGAGAAGCAAATATTTGCAATTATTAAAAAAAAAGAACAGTCCAATTTCTTTAAATTTCACGAGACTGTAGAATCTGGAAACGAGAGACAAATTTTTCAAATTTCCTTTCACTGAGTTTGGTGTTAACATCAGAGTTCAATGAATTAACTTGAAAAAGAATATCGCGATATATAAAAATATCGATCAGGATTCTTCAGGTACAGATGGAAATTTGGAGATGCAAAATGGCAGCACGCTATACGCCAGAAACACAGATGTAATAATGCTCGAAATCAATAGCATTTCTTGTATTATAATTTTTCTAGTCCATCAGAGGCTGCATTTTTCGAGTCGGCTTTGGGTGAAAATGTCAAACGCGCAGAAACGGTCTCCACCAGCCCATTAATGATAATCTCGGTTAACCTAAATACACCCGCGTCCCTTCGGAGCATTTGCCACAGAGAATATAAAACGGGTACTTTATCGGGAGAAATTGAATTCTCGCGGCCGCAGAAGAAGAACGTCCATTTTTAACCGCGTGGTTTATTTATTTAAATTTATAGGGCGCGGAATATTTATGGGGCGGTTGAAGATGCTCGAATGGCGAGACACCTCGCCCCGAAATCGACGTCGCTCATAAATTCTCGCCCCTTTTCGTCCGCCCAGCCATCGGCTCTCCTCCGCTGGATATTAGAAATCGATTCTACGTTTGTCATGGCTCGCTGTTCCTTATCACGTAATACGTGTGCAGCGCTATGTTGCAAAACG